TCCATCCATCCATCCATCCATCCATCCATCCATCCATCCATCCATCCACCCATCATCATCCATCCATCCATCCATCCACCCATCCACCCATCCATCCATCCATCGTTCTATAAAGCTTTACCTCCGTTCCTCATTTCCTTCTGTCCTCCTGCAGCTGATCGCCGTCTACGACGAGCAGGAGCCCCATCATGGCGGCGACGGCACCAGCGCCAGCTCCACCGGGACGCAGAGCCCCGACCTGTTCGCCGCAGACCTCGGCGCTGGCAGCATCGCCTCGGCGTTCCAGCCCTACCAGAACGCCAGCGAGATCGAAGTCACGCCTTCGGCCCTGCGAACCAGTGAGTCCCGCCGCCAGAGGAGGAGAGACTGTACATGCAATTAGAAACGAAGCTGTTACTTCCAAATGATCAATTCCTCTCGCCGTATGTTCTCCATGTTGTCGTCTTTATTGAGTTAAATGTCAGGAGCTACAGCAGCATACAGTAAACCCAACAAATCACCTTATAACCCTGCGCGGTAGCATTGTTCATAAATTCAGGTAATTGGACAGGAGGCGACTTTTTTCAGGCGCAGTTAGCCGTTTGATCCCCGGCCAAAGTGGCTAATTGGTTCAATCCGAAGCCTCCTAAATCAAATTTGTCACTGAGCGCGCTCACCTCCGTGGTTTTCCCCGGGTCGGGTCGCTGCTTTGGCTCTAATTACCATGAGTGTCGACAAGAAGCTGCCTTTTGTTGACGATTGGTTCAGTTTCTATCAAGCAAACAATTTTAAGCTGAAACAAACGAGAAGGCAAAGAGGGAAAAAGGAGGAATCATGCGTAAATTAGCTGTTTTAAACAGAGGTGGGCAGAGAACCAGAAATTATACTCAGTTAAGAGAAGCACTACTGCAGCATGTTTTTACTCAAGTAAAAGTGCAAATTACTCAAATAAGAGTAAAAACATATTTGGTAAAAAGTCGACTCGAGTACTGAGTAGCTGATCAAATTATCAATCATTTAAAAATTACATCATCAGAAGGGCCAAAACATAAAGTTAAGTGGAAATTTTTGTATTTTACGGACAAAAATGACAATAATTCATATAAGCAACACAAAAACAGTTTCCTTTATTAAAAAACTTATAAAACTTTAACAAAAACCGCAGGTCTGTGTCTGGTGAGTTTTTGGTTAAAACGTGTTTGTTTTTCTTTCAGTGGGTGGAAAATCCAGGAATTTTACTCAAGTAAGAGCAGAGACACTTCAAAATAAAATTACTCAAGTAAAAAATAAAATATACAGCATAGCAAAAGTAATTTTTCATTTAATTTTTCAAAAAAGTTACTCAAGTAAATGTAATTGCGTAAATTAGTTACTGTCCAACTCTGGTTTTAAAACACATTAAGCACACATAACTGCTCAATAAACATGAACCTTTGCTAGGTTGGGAAAATACGGGGACTGAATATTCTTGTAAAAAAAAAGTGAACGTTTGTGTCTGGTGAGGTTTCACAATATCAGATAAAAATAAATACGGTGCTGTTGCTGAAAACTGCAACGGGGGTTTCAGTCCCAGCCACTGTGAGTCTTTACCCCACCATAATTCATGAGCTTTACCGGCTCTGCCATTTCTGTCGCTGCATTTCCTTTGGCCAACTTCACAATTTGACATTTCAAAAATAAATTTCTTTAATGGAACCACATCGTAAATAAATACATATGTGTAAAGCTAAAAAATGCAACTCCTGACTCAGTAGGAGGTCCAACCAAGCTGTAGCCAGTAGGAAAACCCTGCTGCATTAGCTACCTTTCAACCTAAAGGGGGCAGCACTGAGACGGTTTTAGAGTGAATGTATCAGAATGAAACGCATTTAAACAAAAATGTCACAATTCGCACAGACATCTAAAGATGGCGTCCATTCTGGGTTTATCTACCCAGAATAAAAGTTGATTTGGGGTTTAGTTGCCCTTTAAACATCATGTTTTCTTATTTTTTTTCCATTTTGAAGAGTGATACTAAAGAGCCGTTGTTGTTTAAGGTCATGGATTTCCAATAAAAAGCTCAACTTTTAAAAGCAAAAATGCTTTGGTTTTCAGAAGTGCAAAAATGTACCATTTATGTACCATAAGAACATGAACACAGTTTTACTTCCCTCAGAATATCTGCAGTAATTTTAAAGTTATAGATTTTTATGCAACTGTAATGAAAGATTTAAAGATAGACATATATAAAAGCATCTGCTCAGGCGTCTGGTCGCTGCAGTTCTAATTGCATTTTGGATGAGATGCTGAACGTGAATTTTTCTGAAGGAAACGGAAATCTTTGGCATAATTACACCTGCCGGTTACATCCAATTTAGCCGCCTTCGTAATAAATTCCAGCCCTGCTAATTGACTACACAGAGTCTCATCAGCTGAATTTTAATACGTGTTAAGCAAAATGTCTGACACGGAAGAGAGGGGATTTGATTAATTTTCTTTTTTAGCGAGTTCCTAATGAGAACGGCTCAGAGTGACTGATTTATGCTGCAGGAGTTTCAGCCGCTGGACTCTGGGCTTCGCTGGCCCAGATTCTCAGATGAGCTCACTGCAGCGGCGGCGGCTTTGTAAACTGAAAATAAATCAAGTTTAGAGATCACGCAACAAAACCCATGCAAGAACTATAAAGAAGTTGAAGAAGTTACACCTGGTATTGTTGTTTTTCTCTTTCCCGTCACGTTTTACTGCATCCAGATATCTTCAATAAATCATGTTTTAGAGATTGATACAAACTGCTGCTGCTAAAATAATTTCTTTTGATTTGGCTGTTGAAAGACTAAATATGCATAATTTCTGTAATATTTGTGTCCAAACAGAAGGAGGAGACTGACTGTGCACATATACTGGAGTTAAAATACCAGACTTTTATGTGACTGACATAAAATCCTGCAGTTTAAAGGAATCCAGACTGGAGAACTGAATGCATCTGCAGCTTAAACAACGTTAAAAGTTCAGCCTTTCTGCTCTACTTAGCATCGATACAGCTTTAGGCTGAGCTGTTGACTAATTTCTGATTATTGGATAGCAAAACGTGCTTAGTGGGAGATTTTTTAAAAAAGTTATTTGAATCGGATGAAGCTAAAACTACAACTTGAGGAATTCTGGGAGAACATATGCAGATAAATAAGGATTTTTTATTTCCTTAAATAAAATTTATATATTTTTGTACAGGTTTGGCTTAATTACTGCTCTGAATATGTTATTTTTTCAGCAAATTGACTTTTTTTTGACTTTGTATACTCCAATTAACCATTAACCCATTACTACGTTAGTAATTTAGTATAACTGATGGGAGGTGAGAACTCTAGAAAACTAACTTTTTACAACTTTTTGAAAGGGAGGAAAGGAGATTTGGTCAAAAGTAATCTATACATCTAAAAAAACTTAGACATTTAAAGAAATGTTTTTACACTTTCATTTAAATTTTTAAAAAATGTCAGGTCAAAACGGCTGAAACAAACATTTACTACATCAAGGCCGTCTGAAGCTCACTATTTCTAGCCAAATTAGGACTTTGAGTTCATTTCTATTAATTTTAATAACTACATTTATGCCCAACAACCACAGTTAACCTGAGCTACGAACCATAACCAAAAGTTAAATCACATTTTACCAGTAAGCATGAGAAAGGGGGCCTGGACCCGCTTTGGCCCCTCGGGCCCGTCTGTCTTCAGAGGGACTGTAAATGCACCAGAAAAGGTCCTTATTAGATAATATAAACAAGCTCTCTCTCTCTCACACACACACAGATGTGCTGAATCAACAGATACTTCAGCTGCTTCTTTAAAGACATCCAAACAAGTGAACAGATTTACAATTGGACAGTTGAGTAATGGTTCACAAACCCACACAGAGCCATAGGATTCCACTTCAGTTTGCACGCACACACACACACACACACACACACACACACACACACACACACACACACACACACACACACACACACAGTTTAACAAAAGCAGGAAGCGTTGCGACACAGAAACAGAGTGATGCCCAGACTCATCAGTTTATGAGAGAACGAGGAAATAAACAGCCAGGAGCACAAACACACAGATGGACTCAGTCAGAGCTGCAGATCTGCTGACCCGGCACGCAGATCAGTGTTTCCTGTGTGAGCCGCTTCCCAGCAGAACATGGGAACCGGACCTCTTGGCTACCAAAAGACAACACTTTTATTTAAAACGTTTGTCGTTTTATAAGCTGATGTTTTCTGAGAAGCAGCAGGTTTTTTGCTGTTGTAACGGCGTCGTGTTCGCTGTTGCTGTTGGGATCATTTAAGTATTTGGACCCACATGATGCGACTTTTAGATGGAGTGAAGGGTTTCAATGGAAGCCCATCACCAAAGTTTGATGTTCCCACACAGGAAGTAGAATCTTTAGGAATAAATCAGATTAATTTACCAGAAGATCGTGATTAATGCAGCTTCATTATGCTGCCCTCCAGTCTCATCAACCATGACTGATGACTGAGGAAAATACAGTCTGAGGTTCCAGAAGAGCAAAGAAAAATATGACATTTCATCTATTTTTAACCTTAGAAAAGGAAATTCAACTCTGGAAAACACCTCGTAGGCTAATTGACAGGCTAAGTTTTTAGGCACACCTCCTTTAAAGACACACCTGGTTTCTCATTCAACACGATGCAAAAAGTGAAAATAAATTAGACAAGATGTCAGGGCGAGAGTTGGGAACGATTTCCAGAAGCTGGAAGGTGTTTAGTTCATCTGTTAAAACAAATATAGGCAAGTGAAGACATGATCATCAAAATGCCCACAGACCATAATGAACATCTTACCATCCTAACTGTGAAGTACGGAGGTGGCAGCATCATGCTGTGGTGCACTTCATAAAATGGATGCAGAAACATGTGGAAATATTGAAGCAGCATCAACCAAGAAGTTGAAGGTTGGATCTTCCAAATGGACGAAAAGTCGATGTTCTGGTGTGACCATCGAAAGATTTCGAATAAATCTTTGAGATATTCTCTTTTTCTTATTTTAGAAAATATAAGTAGTTCTTGTGATTCTAACTTGCATAAAACAAGAACATATTTTGTCTGATTTCACTTAAAGCTGCAAAATGTAACTTATTTAAAAAAGTTTGGTGATTGACGGCACTAAGACCCGCCTCCTGGCTCTGATTGGTTGTTTCTAGGAGCTCAAATGTTTTTCACAGATGATCTGTCTCATACTATTTGTCTCATAGGCTAAATTACGGGATAAATTAATAGATTTGAGTTACTGATGGCAGTTTCAACAAATATGTAAAAAAAAAAAAATTTAATAGTTGCAGGAAAAATTTGGATGCATTTTCTTATGAACACTCCTGTTTTCCACTGTACTGAATAAAACGAGTGATCCAACTTCTCCGGTACGCATTTAATTTCGTATCTTTGTTCAGATATGCCTCTCCACGTCCGGCGCAGCAGCGACCCCGCCCTCATCACCATCAACGGGCCGTTCAGCGCCTCGGAGTCGCGGGTCCAAACCGAAGAGCCTCCATCCAGGAAGAACCCAACTCGCTGGTCCACTACTGCCGGCTTCCTGAAAGCTCGCCATTCCTCCGGCACAAACAGCCTGGAGAGGAAGGTGGGTGTTAAACCGATGGTCTACTGGAAACCACATCTACTTCAGGGGTAAAGCTTTTGTTTTCTGTGTAGAGCAAAGGTTTGGACACGTACCGCAGCCTGCCGAGGGACGCAGGGACCTGGTCCAATCAGAGGGAGTTTCAGAGAGACACAGCCAGGTCGTCGCTCAGCGCCAACCATCCCATGGTGGACCGCTGGCTGGAAAAGCAAGAGCAGGTGAGCAAACACATCCAAGCACACACCAAACTAAAACAAATCCCTACCTGGATTCAAATCTGCATCGGGTTTTTTTTGTTTTTGAGAAGTGGGTAAATTTTTCTTGACCAAATCATCTGGACAGATGAGATCAAAGCGGAGAGGTTTGGTTGTGATGATCCCAAACTCGGCATCAAAACTACTGCAGAACGGCTGAAAAAGAAAATAAACAAAGGTTTTGCAATGGTCTAGTCAAAGTCCAAACCCCAACATGACTGATATGTTGTGACACTTGGAATGATTTTATTTAACCTTCAATTGCATTTCCAGTTATGACAATTAACAGTTGTTTTTTATTCTTTATTGCAAGGTTTTCACTGATAAAGTGACCTTCAACTGACCTTCAGATGAAAAAAATCATTGTTGCAACTCATCCAGTAAACTAGGCAAAATAAAGAATAATTAAGAGGGTCCATGTTCTGTTCTTATTGCTTGAAAATACAAAATTAAGTACAATGAGAAAAGGAAAATATTTCAACCCAAAACTGAGGAAGAGGTGTGACTTTCTTTTAATATGGAAAATATGACAACTTTCTTAATTTCATTAAAATACGCTATGTTTAGTTTATTTTTAAAAAGCTAAAAATAAGAATAAAATCACAATAAAATAACTTTCTACTATTTCTATTGTAAAAAAAATATTGGTGGGACTCTAATATTTTTGATCAAGTTAATTTGACGAACTGTAATTTTCAATCAAAAACTATATACTGACACATATTTTCAATTAAAAACATTTTTTATGCTTAATTATGGGATAAATAGAGATATAAACTCAACAACAGAGATTGTTGTCGATTGTAAATCAGATTTATATTAAAATCAATAAAAAATGCACCAACCTGCATTTACAGTTTGAATGTGTTGAAACCTTTATCATTAAATTAACACTTTATTTTACCCTGTTGACTCCTGTGGCAGGTAGTTTGGACACTGTTGGGTTAAACCCAGTTTCTCCAACAACATTGTGAAAACCCGTTTCATTGTAACTAACAGACATGAATGAGGCGCCGGTTTCGGTCGGACTGTTTTAGTAAGCCGAGTGTGAAGTTTTCATTTTGCTGAAAAAGTGCTAAAACTTACCGAGTCGTGTAACTAGAGACCACAAACTCGTAAACCGTTTCATGTCTCAGGAAACGGTTAAAATCACATCTTTACAGTAAAAGGCAAGTGGATAATTATCGGTGTGGCTCTTTTTGTGCATCCATGCTGATTTATCCATGCATCTGTTTCCTCCATGTTTAAATAGCATTTCCCACAGCAGGTTTAGGTTTTCTCCGTCTGTCTGAAGCGTTTTGCTAATCGGTTTTCCACCATGTTTCAGTAAGACGGGCGTTAAAAGGTGCAGCTCACTGCAGGACCGTCGTTAGTATTAATAGCTTTAAGAATCCATCCGACTTTTTCCTCCAACTCATCCGCACTCAGCTTCCCGTCGCTCTGAGAACCCGAGCATCATCATAACATTCATCTGTTGTTTTATCCTTTTCCTCTGTGTGACGGTGAATCAGCTGGACTTGAGTTCACAGTGAAAGAGTTTTTCTTTCTCCCAATTTTTCCTCTGCTGCCACAAATCCGATTCAGACTTCCAGAAAACTGCAAAACAGCTGAAACACTGAGTTCCTTTAAATCCAGGCTACAAAGCCACTTTAAACCATAACAAATGGAACATACATTGATGTGGGCTGATGACTTTGATGATGACGCTCGTCAAAGTTTAATGTTTACTAGTTTTTATGGTGTTTTTACTTTTTATTTCTGGAAAGCACTTTGTTGTGAAATATGCTATACACATAAACTTGATTGAAATTACTATTCAAAGTGAAATGTAGTATCCGTTATCCATTTACTTAGCTACATGCTAATTACTTTAGCTAAGGCTAATTACAGCTTTTTGAATGGAGTTTTTCTGCAGTAGATGCTCATTACGAGTAACGTAGAACAATATTTATGAAAAATGCATTGCAATCATGATAAAAGTGAGGATGGTGGAGAAAAGGAGGAAGTTCAAAACATCATATCCCCTACGCCAGCATCTCTCTGCCTGGCTTTCGAACCATACGGCCTGACAAAGATTTAAAGAAAAGCGGCAAAAGCAAACGAACTGGGTTAGCAGAGCTGGTCAAAACTTGATTCTGTCGTCCAGGACGTGTTGCTGTGAAATATCTTCTCTGTCCCAGAATATTGAGTTGTTAGCATGTCGTTACAATCATTAAACTGTAACGGCAACAATCTTCAGTCAGAGGCCTCTTCTGATTCGTTGCAGTACTGACTGCTACTGGAGATCCCATTATCATCCACCACTATTCTTGAGTTGAAACATTTATTTCCTTCAGGATTAATAAAGTATTTTTGAACTGAATATGAAAACAAATGATCAAAAAATAAAATGATAAAATAAAGCTCAAATAAATTCAAATAGAAAAATATACAAAAATTATGAATCTGCAGGACCCTGACCAACACAAATATTTATTTCCTTTCTTTCAAACGTTGTCTGTTTAGTTGAAACTATAAAAATGACCAAAGAACGGATCAGATTGTTGGTTACAAAGAGCCCAAAGATCCAGTTTAATGTTTATTTTCTACATTTTTTGGTTCATTCTTTTAGTTTTAGTTACTTTTCCATGTCTGGGTAATTTAATAAAAAAATGTGTGTGAATATTAAAAGTATTTCTCAGAAAACAAGTTACAAGGTGTTCAAGATGCCTGAGAAACTTTTTTTCTTCTGGACTCCAAAATGAACTCTGGCTTCTTGGATGTAAAGGTGGAAACTGAGCGCATTACATATGTTATGTCTGCGTTTGGTGTTGGATTACAGCGTCTCAGGCTGCCCGGTCTCCCAGTCTGCTGTGAGCGCTTAACGTCTCTGTGATTGAGAAACTCACTTTGTTCCTGGAAGGATGTTTCAACACGGCCGGATGACGAGAACCGCGCTGGTGCCGGTCCAGATTAATCACATAAAACAACAGAACAAAAGTCCCATAAAAAAACCCTGCAAAAACACAACATCTCATCAAGAACCTCTGGTCCAGATTCCAGTGAAAATATATTGCAACACTTGAAATGAGACAAAACTAACCGAAAAGTAACTTTTCAGCAAGATATAGAAGCTTGTTTTAAGTAAATAATTATTGTATATGGATGAAAAAGTTCTAGTTTTATTGGTAGATTTTTTTTCACTTGCAACAAAACATTTTTCCCGTTTTAAGTGAACAAAATCGGCCACTGAAAATGGTGCTTTTACATATACATTTAAGAATTACTGACTTAAAACAAGCTTATTTATTTTGCTAAAAAGAGATATTTGCTCTAGAAACATAATTAGAACACCTTAATGAAGTAAATACAAAAATTTATCTTGAAATTAACATTTAAATCTTAAAATAAATCAATAAAACTGTGATTAATAATTTGAAATTTTTTTGTGCATATTTTAATTTTTATGGGAAACTTTGTTTGTGATTGAGAAGTTTGGGTGTGGCTGTGACTCCACCAGTGTGAAATAGTTTATTTCCACCAGCCTTATGGTTCAGGAAGAACCTTTTGAACAGACCCTGAAGAAAACGCCTCATTTCAGTCGTAGGTTTGCAACTTTTACAACCTAAGAGTCATTTTTTCTTTCAAACCAGCCAAATAAAACTCATTTCCAGCTGTAAATGTCACAACTATTTAAAAACGGACAACGTAGAACTTAGAAAATGTGTTATTTTTAAAGAAGCACCATTTCATTTAAATATTTGGGATTTCAGCTTTTTGTTTGTAAAGTGCAGCTCTAAAAATATTACTTGTACTTTTATTGTAATTGTTACAGAAATGCAAAGGAAATATTTCATAAACAAAAAACAAAAAAACCGTTGAAAACTTGAGTTTGTTTTATATAAATGTAAAAACTGTTTTTTACATTTTTACCCACTTGCGGGTCAGGAGTTGCAGGTTGAGGTGACAAAAGGGTGAATCTGAAGAAAATTCTCCTACTGAAGCCAGTTTCTGATTATTTTTATTGACCTTTCACACAACAGTCGCACTGAAACTATTTGGCCCAAATAAGGCAAGAGCGCCTTTTATCCTGCAGTGTCGGAAACCTTTATCAAGACAAATTATAATAAGTGGAAGAAGAATCAGACGCCGAGAATAGAATACCCAGTGATTTTAATTAGAAGTGAGCGGCTTGGGAATGATGAATTAGGCGAAGCAATTTCCTGGAGTTGGCTCCATCTGATCTTCCCAGAATAAATAACACGGCGCGCGCCGCTTTCCGAACGGAGGCTCGTGTAATGAAGAATGCCGCGAGTTCGGCTCGGTCCAAACGAACGGATCCGGAGTGGCGACGTGTGCGCCGGCACGTACGGAGCCGGAGGGGGAAAAATGAAGAGGGGGAGGAACCACCAAGGTCTGGAGCCGCGTTCCCGGCTCCAGCTGGAGCCGCCGGTTGGCAACAGGTTGGGGGTCGCCATGGCAACAAGGGAGCTGTCAGTCGAGTGTGTATTAATGAAAGCTGGTTGAAGGTGCAGCGGCTGCAAAAAGACGAAAGCAGGCCTCCTCTGCTGTGTGTTTTTGTTTGTTTCACGGAGTCGTTTCTGCATCAGTGTGTGTGTGTGTGCGTTCATCTGTGTGTATTTATGATTTCATACGTCAAAAAAAAATCCGAGAAGTCTTCGACTGCATTGCAAATCAACCAATTACAGAGGAAGAGGCAAAAAGCCGGCGAGCCAGCCTCCTGCGGTGTCAGAGAGCTGAACCTGCAGCAATCAACGCTGCCACACACACACACACACACACACACACACACACACACGTGTGGCGCGCTGTCTGGGTCAGCCTTCAGTCCTCACCTCTGCAGGTGAACGGCGGTCTCCGCGGACTCCAAGTGTCGCAGCGTGTCGGCTTGTGTTTGTTACATCCACTCTGCTGCTTTTTGAAAATCTCCTCACTTGGTTAGCGGGGCTTTTTGTTGAAGCTTT